GCTGACCTGTCCTAGACTGTGTGGCAAGGAAAGACAAGGCTGACCTGACTGTGTGGTAAGGAAAGACTAGGCTGACCTGTCCTAGACTGTGTGGCAAGGAAAGACTAGGCTGACCTGACTGTGTGGCAAGGAAAGACAAGGCTGACCTGTCCTAGACTGTGTGGCAAGGAAAGACAAGGCTGACCTGTCTGTGTGGCAAGGAAAGACAAGGCTGACCTGTCTGTCTGGCAAGGAAAGACAAGGCTGACCTGTCCTAGACTGTGTGGCAAGGAAAGACAAGGCTGACCTGACTGTGTGGTAAGGAAAGACTAGGCTGACCTGTCCTAGACTGTGTGGCAAGGAAAGACTAGGCTGACCTGTCTGTGTGGCAAGGAAAGACAAGACTGACCTGTCCAGCGATTGGCTGCCTCCCTCGCCTCCGATGTCTGACCTCTGACCTTGTGCAGCACCTCAGGGTCACTCTCGCGGTACTTCTCCAGCTCTCGTGTGAGCACCTCTCGCTCCGCCCTGCGCTTGGTCAGCTCCTCCATCACTTCCTCCCTCTCATCCTGCCGTCATAGACAACGATCCTTCATCTTTTTGTTGTAGTTTTAGTAACAACACAATAATGTCATACAAGTGGCGAAGAATAGAGGTGTTACAAGAGAGTAACAAACACAAAAAAGAAGGAGGGGAGATAAGGACGATAGATGTTTGATAGGAAAGAAGAAGCAAACCACACCAGAGCACCCGCCTGCCACCCACAATATTACTTTTGGAACACCCAATATGGAGCATATTTTCAGAGAATTTTTTACACTTCAACACGGCCTATGTAATGTTCCTAGGAAGTATAGGAACATAGTTATATATATATAATATGTCCTATATCAGGATATATAGGAATATAGTTATATATATAAATATATGTCCTATATCAGGATATGTAGGAATATAGTTACATATATAAATATATGTCCTATATCAGGATATGTAGGAATATAGTTATGTCCTATATCAGGATATGTAGGAATATAGTTTTATATATAAAACATGATAAATGAACTAACATACTGAAGAGTGTAATCAAACATGATAAATGAACTAACATACAGAAGAGTGTAATCAAACATGATAAATAAACTAATATACTGAAGAGTGTAATCAAACATGATAAATGAACTAATATACTGAAGAGTGTAATCAAACATGATAAATGAACTAATACGAGGGCTGTCCCACGGAAAACCGGAATTTGGCTGTAATTTGAAAACTATTCAATATTTTCACATTCTGTAAACACACACTTGTAAAACAATCATATTGAAATTTCCAGATTGAACACCATGAGCATCGCACTAACCAAACGAACACAGCAGTTCTCCAAAGATAGCTACCCACTTGGAAAATTGGTCAAGGATAGAAGTGAGATCTGTCATTCGGTTTCTG